GATTCAGAACTATCACGATGGTTCTGCTTAACATGATGAATATTATGAGGATGTTCTGAACCCTCAGAGGTGATGATCCCAGAGAGTGATGTCAGCTGGTCCTACTCCAGATTTAAATAATTCAATTTCATATTTTTAAGGGTATGAGCTGAACTAGCCCCAGAAAATGTCTTCAACAAAATAAGAGACCATCGCAAAGATTTTTCTTTTTCACGTATAGCATATCACATGCCAAGATTCCTCTAAAACTATTTTGCTGCCTCATTTGTGAGTTAGGTCTCTTGATTTCAATCATCTGTACCAAAAAAGAGTCAAAAATGACTAAAAATCCTTAGATTTTGTTTTTTGAAGTATAGGAGCTTTTCAATATTTAAATCAATATTACTCATAAAACACTTTGCTGAGAATTATAATTCTATAAAGCTTCCATTTAGGCAAAAGCATAATCACTAAAGTAATACCTGTATCCCACTGAAATATACTTCAAAAAAATTTTTTTTGAAGAAGGATAAAAATGTTTCAAGTTCTTTGCTGTGGTTCTGGATGTTTAGTAGTAGGTAGTGTGAAAACTGAATCAACCATGATGTAGGGCATGGTCGGGGCTGGGAGTGGGTAGCAGGGGCAGGGTGGTGGAGAGAGACTTAGCGCTTGGAGAAATGATGGAAAACCCTTTGGTGAGTAGACAGTTCTCATTGTTACGGAAGGATCTGCTGCACTGGAAGTCCATTGGCAGATGATATTCTTCGGATGGTCCATATGTGACTTCTGGAGGAGCAGGAAGAAAAGGAATCACATATGTCATGAACCATTTCATTGGATCTTCTGGCAAAAAGAACCGTGAATTGGAGCATGAGGTGGAAAAACAAACCATGGTTGCAAAGATGAAGATTCAAGTTGAGAGGAATAGAAAAATCTCTTTTCAAATGAAGGCTGATGCTTTGGTGGGGAACCATATGGGGAATACTCTTTGCCAGATGTTCTCGTTGGACAAAACACTGGTGATACAGTGGATTCTGATTTTTATTCTGATGATTCAGTCTTTCTTGGAATAACAATCAGCTCATGTCATTCTGAATGTTTAAATTTCTCTTCTTTCAGTTCTTTGTCTATGACATCTATTTTACTCTGAAATACAGAATTAAGCCTGTTTAGCTTTTTATTGGTCTCTTCCAATTTTGGTATTCTTGGTGATTCTTCAAAAGGCTAGCATCAGTTGATTCTTTCATATTCTTTTTCTAACATTTGTTTTCCAAGAGTTATACTTTCCTTCAATTATTTTATGTTGTATAGCAAGCTATGTTTTACATCCTCTATAATGTAGGTTTTTAACTGAGAAAATTTCTGCTTCAAAACAAGAGAACTATAAACAGAATCTAATGATTGCTGCCTCTACCATCATCTCCTGAAGAAATGCACAGGTATCAGAAGTTGAACTTTTTTTTAAGGCAAGATTGCCACAACCTCATACAGCTTCTCCAGGAAAAACCTGGAAAAAAAGACAATTCCAAGGCAGTCCATTGGATTTTATGGCTTCACTGTCTACCATTTTGCTCTGAACCACAACAAGCCACATGGAACACCTCACAGTGGTGTTCCGTGCCATCTGGGACCAAGTATACACCTGGTACCCAGAACTTCCCTCAGTGGAATAGGACAATCCATCAAAGAACTAGTGTACCCATGTGGCGGCCCTTTTCTCTTAATTTTAACTTTCTTTCTGTGCCCCTGTGGTCTTACATGTTTTTACAAAGTCCCATTAACCTCTGTCTTCTCAGTGTGCCCTTTCCAGTTTGGTTTTGGCTTTGTGTCCAGCTTAAAAATTCTTAAACATCTCTCAGATTCATCTTCTGCCCTCTGCTCCACTGCCAGTACCTTACCGAGGCTTTATCATCTTTTTCTTCCTGACTTTCTCCCTCCATCTGAGTTCTGACAAAGCTTTCATTTCCCATGATTTCCTTCTTTTACCAGTGACCTTACAAGTAAACATCTAAAAAGAGTTACAACAGGAAGCATTGAGATTATCAGAGGAAGTTAATCTGAGGAAAATGGTTAGCAGAGAAAGGATTCTTATTTCCAAGGAAAGCTTGAGTAGAAAGACCTAGACAGAGAATAGAAATCTCTTTTATTCATCATCTTTCCAAAGTGCACTTTCGTAGAGAACTCTGTTTAGGGTCTAGCGTGGCTCTTTTCAGTTCTCCAGTACTGGAACTTTCCTTTCTCAATGTTGAGCTTTCTTTTTCTTTTTTTACTTTTTTTCTTTCAGTTTGTAAAACTACTAACGAAAAATAAATGTGGGCAGTCATTTCTATGTATATTTAAAATAAACCTCCTTCATGCTCTCCCCTGAATGCTGACAATCGAGCCCAGGTGTTCAGCTTTATTTTGTCTAGACTTCAAGTTTAAAGTGAACTATATAGACAGATAGATGTTCAAAATCTGGAAAATTGTATAGGGACACCTCATTCCCCTGAAAGTCCCATGGGGACTCAGAGGAATCACTCAGTTAGCAGTCACCTTTTGTACTGAATAGAAGTGCATTTCATCTTTCCTGAATGTGTGATCACTTTTTAGATGTATGGGAAACGTGCACCCTGGGAGGATCCCTCAAAGTGGGTGCTTGACACATACCCATGGAGCTCGGTGTCTTTGCCTCAGGAGGGCCCAGCGTTACTTCAGCTGCGACCAGAAGATGTTGGGTATGAGGGCTGCGTATCCACGAAGGAAGCTACAACCTCAAAGCACATTCCACAAACAGACACAGAGGGGGATCCCTTGGTAAGAGGCTGAGGTTTGATTCTTTCTGTATAATCTCAGCTACAGTGTGTGGTCATTAGAATTTAGTCATCTGCATCAAAGACATAAGTTATTCTTGGTAATATTTGAGACTGTCCTGATTTTGGTACTCATTTTTAACATTTTTACCTTTGGCTACTTTCATTGGGTGAAATTCTTAAAAGTGAAAAACCAAATTTGGGTGCTTAAAAATAATCAAGAAACACTGAAACCAGGCTGAGCTCTGTAACCATAGTTTTTTCTTTTATTAGGCAGGAAATTGTGTATGCAAATAAATAAATTTTAAACATTGCATGACTCAACTTACAAGGTAGGTAAGAGAAAACTGAATTTTGTTTGAAAATGAAAAAAAAAAAAGACCCAAAAGAATACATTCTAGTGTATACTTGAAAAACCAAAGAATATTTTACATATATCAACTAGTCTGACTAAATTTAGAATTAATCTGTTGCCAACAGTAGAGAAGAAACAGACATGGAAATCAAAGGGGTGTTACCCCTGCCTTTCTCAGTTTGCAATCCTGTGAGGCTTAATATAAGTCAGTAAAACTCCAAAGTATGAATACTCTGGAAGTATTAAGTGCGTGGAGTTCTTAGTAAAATGACCTTTTTAAATGTATTTTTTAATTTTTATTGATGACTTCCTATAGATCAGTATCCACTGTAATATGTTTTGTTAGCTTACCATTCCATGACTAAAGAGAATATTGGACAACCAATGCAGAAAGAAGACATGTTGAAATGAAGGTCATTGTGTTACTAAAAACAAACGAACAGAAAGGCGATGATGAAAATCGTTACCTGTGATCATACCTGAGGACATAAACTGACTGGGTATTTTGCGGGCTACCTTGACATGTGTGCATCAGCCTCATTCCAGCTGATCTTTCTTAACGTTTTGGGAGTTCCAGGTGAACCACCTGATAAAGTTTCATGACCTTTTTCCCAACAAAATGCTCACACCCAGAAAGTTTTGCATACTTTCTCAAAGAGTTCCGTAAAGTCACCAAAGTATATACATTGACCTACTTAGGGTCCAGGGAGCTCTTATTTAGGACATTGGATCTAGACTATAAACTCCTTATGGGCCTGGACTTAACATTTTTATAATAGCTATCTGTCCCTTTAGCTCATGCATAGCCAGAAGTCAACAGTGGCGGTAGAATTGGCTTGAATTCAGCGTAACTGTGAGCGTGTAGTAAATAATCCCTGAAAGGATGATTAAAATTGAATAGAATAAGTATAAGCCTTAGAGTACAAATATGGGTTATTTCCTCTGAATTTTTTGTAATTTTCAGTTCTCCCTTTGCAGTTTTTAATACTATGGCTGATGAGGTGAGGTGTTTATAAGGTTTGCTTTCAGGGTTACTCTGTAGAGTATGGGACCTTCAGGAGATGTCCTAAATGTTCCCAGTTCCCACAGTCCTAGTCAGCTGCGCCCATTAAGCACTCTTTTGCCCGGCTCTGAATGCTCTTGTCTGCTAGTAAGGAAAAGAGATCCAGGATCTCCCCATTCTGAGTGAGAATTGGGTTAAAAAAAAAAAATCCCTGATTCCTAACCTGCTGCTCACCTCAGCATCTTAAGGAGCAAGGGGTTATGATATCTGGCATTTTTTGCGGGGGAGGGGGGGCGGTAATTAGGTTTATTTATTTTTATTTATTTATTCATTTTTTAACAAAGGCACTGGAGAATCTCCTCTGACTTGAATATACAAATAACCTATGAGAAGGCAGAGTAAGGTCTTTGTATATATTTATTATGAATCTGAGATTTTTAACTTATTCTAATGGAATATATTTACTATGTGATATTATTTTCAAGAATTAAGACTTTAATAATACTACTGTTATACCATAAAACTTTGACAACAGTCAGGATTCGAGTGATTTCAGACATTTGTAACTGAGATAGAATCATAACCCTTGAAACCATTTCTTCTTTTAGTAAATCAGGAGGGCGCTCAAAACATCATTCTCTTTTACAAATTATGTTCACCCAGATGCCTAAGCGTCCCCCTAGCTACTAATAGGGAGGAATTGACAAAAGAAAGGTGGACAGGAATGTGATTGTGCATGAAGGTAGGGGTATGAGTGTGTATGTGTGTAAGAGAGAGGGAGAGAAAAACACTATGTTGATGGAGACATTTGGCTTTTTGACTCACTGGTTTAAGAAGTTCTCACCAACAATTTTCATTTCATATCTCTATGTAGCTAATTTAATAAATTCAGGGAATCAGATTAAAAAATTGTATTGAAAAACATAGTCCTGAAAAATATTAAAATGGCTTTAAAATATGCTGTCACTGTAACCTCTTTGTCAGAAAGGCATCTGTGCCGAAATTGGTAATTACCAGTTTATCATTTATTTCACAAACATTTTTTGAGCACACATTATGCTGAGCACACAAGCATATAGAACCTAACATATGTCTAAAGAATCCCTTTTAGAGTTCTCCTTTCTATTGAGTCAGATTTCCTATATTTCTACTTTGGGGGAAAAAGAAGAAAACATTGATTACTTTATAAAAATAGACAGCATGCATTAAACAGTATAAAGATTACTACAATTTCTAGAAACCTTTGATAAGAAAACAAGTCTATACCCTCACGAAGACATGTGCCAATTTTTCTGTGTTTGCTAAAACTGTCGAACCATTTATCCACAATGGGCTTTTCGGACCATCTTTCTTTTGACATCCCTACGGGTGAATCTGCAGATCTATCAAAATCCAAGCAAGGTGGCCACCTTTTGTTTTCTCATACATGGAAATGCTAGCTGTCTTTCTCCCCAGGTGCTTTCACGCATCCATCCCTTTTGCTAGAACAAACATTACCCTTGTCCTATAAGACTGGGAAATGTGAGACAGCCGCCACCGTTCCAGAAGGTGGTTTTTGTTTTCAGTGATGTATCAATCACATTTTAGCCAGAAATTCAACAACAGCAGAAACTTGACAGTGATTCTTCCCCTATCCCCCTTCAGACACTCATGGTCGGCTTCATTCCGTCACCTCCTTGGGAGGTCAGCTCCTAAGCAGCAGATGGTGTGCTGTGGGCAGCAGCTGGCTCCCTTCCACCCTCTCCCCGCCTGCTCCCCAGGGACCATGTGTGGGAGCCCCGGGTGTGCGTCTGCGTGGGGATGAACATTCACGACTTTCACTTGCCATTCAGGGCTTTCTGCCTGTCGCAGCCAAAAAGCTGGAAAGCTTGGCACATTCTCCAGCCTCGAGCCCAGATGTCCAGCTGTGATACAGTATCCTTTCCACTCTCCCTGCTGGAGCCGTATTCATTCACAACCTCAAATAAAAGACGTATCTAGCAGCCCTATTGTGTCCTTATGGTTCTGCTGTCAGAGTCATGTTTGGGAGAAATAGCGTAGGAGCCAGGGGCAACTCGTAAAAATCGAAAATTGTTTTCCTGTTTCACTTGGATGGGATGAGACGGTGCCTCAGTGTGGCTCAGGGCCGTGTGTTTGCTGGAACTGGCTTCCTCAATGCCTCATCGCCTCCATCGATGTCTCTTTTTCTTTCTTCAGATGAATATGCTAATGAAACTCCAAGAAGCAGCCAATTACTCGGGCACACAGAGCTGCGACAGTGATAGTGCCAGCCACCCTGAAGACGTTTTGGATTCCTCTCTTGAATCTACCCTCTAGAGGGTGGAAAAAAAAAGGGGGGGAAATGACTATGCTTTAAAAAAAAGTTTAAAAAGAAGGTATTTTCACTAAACCACTGCCAGTATGAAAGCACCCTGTCAAGGGCCCTGACCCAGAGTCATGGTATCCAAGGAGGCAGCAGAACTAAGTCTGAACCACCAAGATGCGAAACGGACACGGAAGCTTAACTTTCTTTTATTTCTAGACATTTTTCTGTCCGTGGAGTGATGTAAGGCTCCATTACTCAACTGGAAAGGACCCTCAGGACAGGGCACCTGATAGATTGCACACGGGATAGCCAAACTGGACTTTATGTTTTTCCTCTTTGAAAGTTTACAACGCAGACCTTTTTTATTTCGTTGTTGTTCGTTCCTTCCTTTTGTTTCCTCTGAGGGGCTGTTCTCCCCAAGCAGGGTCCATTCTTCTGATCCGTCCAACCTCCTTTGGGCCACACGGTGCTGGTCTCAGAGCTCCGGTAGTGTTTGTGTTGTGTGCTCACCCCCATTCCGCAAGGCAGAGGCCAGGCCTCCGGAAGCACAAAAGGCAAGGTGTGACCCCCAGGGAAACACTGCTGTGGCAATCTGGATAAGTGCCAATGTAATTCTCAACTGCCATGTTCACGGGATGTGCTCCAGCAACTTTTTAGTGTCTGAGTCACAGGTTTTATAAGGTTGTTTTTACCACCGTGGTCTTTTTAAACCACCTGCCCACTCCCTTAAAAAGAGTTTTATACCAATTATTAGTCAACACTGACAAAAGGCTTTTTTAGGGCTTTGTTTGTTTGAGCCTTTTCAGTGACAAGAAGAAACATTTCCTATGGTGCTGTCTCACTGCCTTAAAACAGATTTCTACAACAGTTGAACACTTGGTTTAAATCTTAAACCCTTGCTGATTTCCACGGTCTTTTCCTTTCCAACCCAGCAACGCCAGTTAACACAGTAGCCTTGTCTCTCTCTAATCTCGCTCAAATTCTTTTGTTTGTTTGTTTGTTTTTAAGAAATGGATAGGAGAAAGAGGAGTATTTTTTCCTTCGGGAATAGATTGCTTTGCCCATCCTCCGAAATAGTCAAGTCACCCAGAAACCCTCTCTGACCATCACTTCAAAGCTAAGCCCTGTGGCGAAATTCCATCCAGATCCAGGTAAAAGAGTTTCAGAAGGTGGGAGATTTTTGCATTCTTATCCAGCAAAGCTGGAAGCATTTGGCACAGCATGAGCACAACTGTTTGGCTTTCCTCCCCTATTCTTTTTGTTGGGTTTTTTGGGTTTTTTTCTTAACTATGATGAGTTTTGAGCATGTTGTTTTGATGGCTGTTGTTTTACATGAGAAATTCAGCACTCGAGAACACTGAAGCGGTGAAGTCACTGTGGAGGAAGGCGCGTTGATACTGTAAAAGAAGGTTAGATTTGCACAGTCTACTGGGTAGGTATTGTAAATAATCTTTTTTAAAACTTGCACAAATCGAAACAAATACAACAACAACAACAACAAAAAGTGTATTTTATCCCGTTGGTGTTAAGAGGTGTTTCACTTGCCGAGATCGGTCCCTGTACGTTGCAAACAAATACAGAATGCCAACCCTCAACGCTGTTATTATCTGGTGTGTTTGTCCTGTATTTACAGTTGTTCTGACTATGCGGGAGCTATCAGTGCTAGGGTGAGCATGCTTCTAAACTGTCCATGAAGCCAGTACATTTTTGGAAAAGTGAAAAATGTCTACAAGTGCATCTGTCGTGGCAGGCTTTAAAGAGAGTGCATGAAAACCGATGGGAGTGACTGGAGAAGTTACCACCACACACAGAGGACAGGTTTTAAATCTCTCAACCCAAGGGCTAGGCCATGGTGTAGACTTGTCCTGTGCGTGTGGAAATGTGCTACTTTCAGGGCGCGTAATTGGTGCTACTCTCTGTGACCACCCGCGGGTCCGTTGCTGTGGAACAGTAACAGCACAGGACACCCGTGCCAGTGGTCAGAGTGTCGCTCGGTCTCTAGGTCGTCCACGGTGCTACTGCCCTAAGGGAAATCCGGACTGAATTTATGCACACAGAATCGTCACCCTGACTTTGAAGCCTCAAACATGGATCAAATCTGTTGTGAAACATCGAACAACGTAGCTGGACGAGTGACTGGTTGCCCTTGTATCATACGTGATCTAAGAAAACTGCGAATCCCTCCCTGCCATTTTGAGAACCACAGTCCAAACATGAACATAAACAGAAGTTCCTGCAATACATCCCAGTAGGTCCTCCTAGTTTACAACTTAAACTAGTTTGTGAAACATTTGTCTGTATACATTTTATATTTTGTACATTTTTGATGTAACATATCATGTAAATAGACAGAAACAGTGAAATAAATCATCTGGAAAGTTTTGTAGTCTTTGTAAAGCCCGGCGATAAGTACTTGGTGTCAATGGACTTAACTGGGTGATGTATTTTCTATTGGTCGGTTGTTCCTCTAGCTTGTAAACCAGCTTGCATATATTTTTTTGCAGATGTGCACCCTGTATCTGTCTAAATTATTACTTTGCCATTAAAGTGGAATTATTTATTGACAACAAGGTGTGGTGTCTACATATGGAGAAAGTTGAATAATTATGCACCAGAAGTATCAAGCTTTATAATACTGCTTACACTATTCATATGCCATGAATAGGGATGTGTGGGAATTTTTATTTTACATTCCTCATAGAAAAAAACCTCATAGCTTTTAAGCAGATAAATAAATTGAAGGCTCTAGGTATATGATTTAAAGTGAAAATGATTTATTCAGTGAATATTTTTAGAGAAAGCTGACTAGTCTACCAAAATGATAAAAAAGTCATCTTGTTTTAACAATAATAAAAATTATTGTAAGAATTAATATAAAATAAAATATTGATATTCACTTAGTTATAGCAACTCATCAAATGTTTCTTTGTTTTTATTCCATTAACTCTCTTTTTGATCTTTTAGTGCTAAAGACACTTTTAAAACAGAATTTTTTTTTTTTTGGTGGAGGTTTATTTTTCATAGAGATTATAAATGGAAAAGGAGCCCCCTTTAAAATTAGAATTATTTTCAAAGCAACTTGGTCTCTAGCCCAGTAATTGGAATGTTTACTTGGGTGGTATCTGTAGGGCTTTAATTCTACAAACAGGAAAACTTTCTGATTAGAACAGTTGTTGAGCAAAGTAAAAGTATTAGTTAAAAATGGGTCAATCATTCATAATGGATTAAAACTGATACATTTATTTGTTCCTTCATTCACAGTTTAGGAGATACGGGAAATTGCCACAATTCATCTTACACAGATAAACGCTGAATGAATACAAAACTTTAATGTAATTCTGACACGTTCAACACCAGGCTGCCTAAGTGTGAGTCCTAACACCGTCCTCCTTCTCTGCGTGACCTTGGCCAGTTTACTCACGCTCTTTATGTCTGGTTTCCTCGCCTATAAAATGATGCGCATAATAATGTCCACTTCTTACAGGTTCTGTGTTGTTCAAGGGTCAACAGTATTTAAATATTTTTGGTTTTTTAAGAATGCATCTTTTTACTCCGTTTCTTCATTTATCACGTGGGGACATTCATGATACCGACTTCGTAGGGGCTCTTGGGAGTATTGAGTTTAGATCTGGAAAGCCCTGAAAACAATGCCTGGGACTCAGGAAACTGAATAAATGTTAGCTGCTGTACTTACACTGTCATTACAATAAATTAACAACATCAGTTGTATAACAAAGTCTCTCAGGATTCAATTTGTAAATGTGTTCATGGTAATATTGGAGTCTTAATAAAATTATATCTTTTCATCCAGTTTCCTGATCTGTAAAACAGGGTAATTATAGTATCTACTCATAAGATGGAATGTTTTAAAATACAGAAAGCACTCAGACGGGTCTGTCACACCTTCAGTGTCATATAAGTGTTAGCTATTACTATTGCTCAACAGGTGTTTATTGTGTACCTGATGTGTCAGGCAACTTTCTTAGGGTTAAAGAGATTGAGACTCAGGCCACAAACTGAGGGGACTCAGTTTATACAATAGGATTTGTGCTTCCTATTTTGATGGATACCTGAGTTCTCTACTAAAGAGTGACCAGTGAGAAGTCCACAGGATAGTAGCTACAGGATGTTCAGACACTGACAGAATCAACAATACCGGGGAATTTTGTTTGCATTTGGAGAAATTCAAATACCTTTACTTCAGACTTCTGGACTTTCATTAAAAAACATTATTTTTATAAGAAATAAGTCACCTTAAAATGTCTAATTGTATGTCTTGGATCAGTTAAGATGTTTAAAGAGACTCAGTAGTGTTTTGACTTTTCTCGAGCACCAGCTAATAGGTAAAATATTGCATTGCTGAATGCAGTGTTCCTCTCTAGTTCTGTGGAAATGATCTGGATAAGTAATCATTAGAGGGTCTCTTCTCCACATAAAGTATTCATTATCTCTTAGTTACCCAGGAGTTTATCAGTAAGAAAACGTATCTATAGAAATTGAACATAGCCCATCCTAAACTAGAATCTTATTAGAGGGAAATGAAAGTTCTCAAGTTGGTTTCCATGAAACTGTAAATATATATATATATTTACACACACCTTTTCTTTATTGCTGGAATTTTTTAAGTTTGCTTGAATATTCTAGAATAGTATGGCAGAGCTGAAGTTGGTGAACAACTGAGTAAACAATTTTTATGGTGATTACATATTAAAGTGAAAATATTTTCAGTATATTGGGTTATATGAACTATGGTATTAAAATTAATTCACCTGATTCTTTTCTCCTTTTTTAATGTGGATACTGGAAATTTTACAATTAAAATATCACTCATATTTGTGACTTGCTTGATATTTCTATTCCTATCAGGTAACACTGCTATAGAGGATTGATCTTTATAAAATGTAAATGTGATCACCTACCTCCCTCATCTCTTTTGCGTTTTGTTTTTAGGAATAAGGTTCTAATATCAAAGAACAATCCTTCGCTCAATCTGGATTTTGCTTATCCCTTGACTTCCTTTTTCACCCTACCCACTGCCCTCTCATCAGTAGCCTAGAACCTAGAAGTAATTGTTGGGACATTAACAACTTTCCAGACAATGTAGCTATGTGTATGGGTCCAGGTTTTATTACAATCTTGATGTGTGGGAAAAACCTGCAGTAGGCCAATTTAAAGGTTTCTCTCCTAGTAGAAACATTTACAGAAAACATAGATTAGACCCCCAAAGTACTTACTTAATGATACCAACCTATGATCCAGCAATCCAACTCCTAGGCATATATGCAGAGAAAACTCTAATTCAAAGAGATACTGCACCCCAGTGTTCATAACAACACTATTTACAATAGCCAAGACATGGAAGCAACCCCAATGTCCATCGACAGATGACTGCATAATGAAGTAGCCTATTTATACAATGGAATAATAGTCAGCCATAAAAAAGAATAAAATAATACCATTTACAGTAATATGGGTGGACCTGGAGATCATCATGCCAGATACTAACTGCTGTATATAAAATAGATAAACAACAAGGTCCTACTGTATAGCACAAAGAGCTATATTCAGTACATTGTAATGGCCTATAATT